CCGGGCCTCGTCTGGGTGGGCTCGGCCGGGCGCCTCCTGGCCGCGCTCCGTCTCTCCCGAGACTTGTGCCCTGGCCTGCGAACCCCCCCGGCTGCAGCCCGCCGGCCCTGCGCTCTCCTCCTGACCCGGCAGGCCTGACCCCCGGCCCCAGGCGAGGGGACCCCGGGCTCTGCCTTCCCGCTCCCGCCAGCAGTGCCTGCGGCGAGGTTTCATCTCGCTGCTCGCACTGCATTCCTTTCGCCAGCCAAGTAACCAAGTTTTGCTGTGGGCTCTCAGTAAAAGAAAAAAAAAAAAGCCTCACAGATTCTGGCAGCATGAATAGAAATGCTTTCATCCCAGCTTCAAACATCCGTAAACATTTGAACTTATATTACAGGAATAGAAAGTCAAATATACATTCCCCAGAGAGCCCCCCCCCCCCCGGCCACCTGGAAGGACAGCCTGTACCAACAGAGGCTTCCAAGGCGCTCCCTAAATCCCGTTTCCTCTCCGGAAGAGTGACGGTGGCAGCACGGGGCTGGGGGCTACCCAGGGGACCCTCCAAGAACTGTCTACCGGGAGAAAGCATAATGGTCTACCTGTCTAAGGGAACATGGTGAATTTAGGGAAAAGAGACTGCAGCAGACTGAGGAAAGCAGGAAGGCTTCTAAAAACAGGTGAGGTTTGAGCTGGATCCTAAAACCTGACAATGAACGTGAGTTCCAACAGATCCAATCTGGTCTTCCTGCTTCCAGACTATTAGTCCTCTAAAATCCACACTCCACGCAGTAACCTTAAAATCACTTCTCTTCTTAAACCTTGCAACTTCACTTCCAGGAAAATCCAAATTCCTTTTCACGGCCAACAAGGCTCACTGAGATTCAATCCCACCTTCTCTGCAGCACTGACCAACATCCAGAACTGTATTCCTGCTCTCCATGCTTCAGTCATGCTAGCCTTCCCCGTGTCCTGGAGGACGCCAAACTTGTTCCCACCTTGGTCATCAGTGTAATGTCTTCCTCAGAGCAGCCTTCCCTGAGGCCAGATCTTAGTTTTTCAAACTTATTTTTACCACAATCCATTATAACAACTACATTTTAGATTATGAGCCAGCAGCTACATAGATAACACATATATCCACAGAAATGATAGTTGCACGAAACAATATTAACACTTAACCACATTTGATGCTATTCTATCCACCTCCATTCAGTTCTATTTCACTTTTTTTTTTTTAAAGATTTTATTTATTTGACAGAGAGAGCACAAGCAGAGGGAGACAGAGGGAGAAGCAGGCTCCCTGCTGAGCAAGGAGCCCGATGTGGGACTCGATCCCAGGACTCTGGGATCATGACCCGGGCCGAAGGCAGCCGCTTAACGGACTGAGCCACCCAGGTGTCCCTCTATTTCATTTTTTTTTTTAAATGTGATCATGAGTACATGAGCTTTTAGTTCACTAATGTTTCCCAGTTAGCAGTTTAAAAAATTCTGTTTTAAATAGATTCTTTCCTACTGTCTCCGCCTTTCTGCTCTGTTATAGCATCCTGTGTGTTTTGTTTGGGGGACTTATTCAATTTCTAATTATTCAGTTTATATTCAATTTATTTATTTTTATATCCCACCAGACTGTAGGCTCCAGAAGGGCAGAGCTGATGCCTGGCATTGTTCGGTGCTGACTTCCTGTAAATTCCTCCTTACCGCATGCAGGTCTGCAATGGGACTGAAAATTTAGGAAATGGAAGATCATAGAACAGGGCTGAAATTTAACTCTGCCTTGGCAGGATAGTAAACAGGCACAATAGACTGTAAGAAAAGAAATAACCTGGCATTACTTTATCCAAGAGCCCAAGGATGCTGAAGAAATGGTTTTGCTCAGTTTCACTTCATTGCTTGACAACAGATGGCTCTGTGCTGGGCACCGGCTCCACAGATAGCCCTTTCCTCTGGCCTCCTCTAGTGGGGAGTTGGTCCTCCTCCACCACCAGACTCCTTCTCTGAAGAAATTCAGGGGTACAAGCAACATAGAGTGTAATAGTCTGTTTCAGCACATTTGCATGTAGGCATATGTGAAGATTAAAACTATTTGGTTAGGCTAGGGAAGAAATTATAGGTAGTTTTCCCTAAAAATTCATTATAATACTACCATTTTGTTTTTACAATCCTAAAAAAAAAAAAAAATAGAAACTATTTCTTTACTGGTCAGCCCTGGCTAGGTTGGGCTATGGTAATAACGACCCTAAAATCTCAGGGGCTCCTAACAAGAGAAATGTACTTCTTGCTCTGTTATGTGTCCTTCCTAGGTTGGCTGCAATTCTTCCCCACGTCGTCTTCATTCTGGAACCCAGACAAGGGGCAGACCCAATCTGAGACATGCTGGTCTTGTGGCAAAGGAAGGAAATGAGAGATGGAAGAACCAGACGACAGATCCGAACATTTCTGCAAGAAATGGCTCACATCAATCCCACTCACATGTGATTGGCCAAAGCAAGTCATGTGGGCAAGAAAGGTCTGTGGGTGGGGAATAGAAGGCTTTTACAGCAAATCGTTGCAAACCATAATACAATCTAGCACAATTTATTTATACACCTTTTATAATGGGATGGAGGGGGGGTGCCCTCTGAGGTCTCCTCTCTAGATTTGATAAGAATCTTTGGCCTCTGAATCCTGATCAGCTTCTCGTCAGAGGCCCCTCCCTTTGGGCCATCCAATCCTGACTTTTTTTTTTTTTAAGATTTTTATTTTTAAGTAATCTCTACCCTCAAGGTGGGGCTCAAACCCACAGCCCCGAGATCAAGAGCCATATGCTCCCCGGATTGAGCCAGCCAGGCGCCCCTAATCCTGACCACTAACAGCTTTCCGGGGGCCCAGGTGGGAGAGCCTCCGTGGATTGATTTCTTTGTTCCTGCTGTTTGGCGTCCTGTGATAGGGTAGCTGCACTAGCTCTCAGCTCAGACCCACTGGGAAATGTCTCTGGAAGCCTCTTCAGACCCGTCGTCACCCCCGGGAGCCACGCCCCCTCTTACCTTCTAGGTTCTGCGCGCTGCCCAGCTCCAAAAGGCTCCCGGGACACGTACAAGGCCATGGTGTCGGTTGGGTTCCAAGAGCTATTTTCTCACATCCTGGACTTACTGTTTCGTGACCAAAACACCTAGTTGTGCTAATTTCCAGAAACTCCCAGATTCAGTTCTCTCTGACTCTGCATGCTAGAAACCTAAGGGAAGGAGGCCTACTGTGCACGCCTGAATGCGGAGGTTCTGCCACTTGACTGAGTCTAAGAAGCCCTCAGGAGGCTTATTAAAAGGCAGCTTCCTGATACTCGGGCATTAAAAGGCAGACGGTTTGGGACTGGGCCTAGGAATCTGCATTCAACAATCTCTCTAGGCAACTGACACCTGAGGGAGTTTGCAATGTCCCGATTCTGATGGTCTCCACAACAGGCCTGGGCGGGATCCAGTGCAAGGGCCCCTGCAAGGAAGTGGCCCCCCAGCACAGAAGGCCTTTGAGGGACTGACTGTATGGTCAGAAGACATCTTGGGCCAGGGAGTGAGTACTCTCTTTCCTCCGTCACACTTCTCAAGAGCAGTCACTAAAACTCAAATCACCAAATCCAAAGGCTTCCTCAGAGAGTTCAGACAGCTCCACAGCTGTCAGGTGTCCCAGTTCTAGCGCCTTCCGGCAGGGCTGCTCTGTAATCCTGATTCTACATGAATTGTCTATTTCCTTTTCCACTTCTTTTACTGCTTCCCAGTCTAGAAATCCACAAGACTTTTTCTGGGTCAGCTTTTAAAAAATTGTAATAGATTTTTTTTTTTCTTAACGGTAAAAGTAATGCAACTTACTGTGGAAAGTTTAGCAAATGTAGTAAAGCAAAAATAAGAAAACAAAGACCATCCATAACACTGACGTCCAAAGGTTAGCTATGTGGGATTATCTCTTTCTCTGCTTGTATACTCATATATTTTTATTAAAAATGAGATCACACTGTATATTGTGATCTTATTATTTGCTCTTTGTACTTAATGTATAGTGAACATTTTTTGTTATATTCTTCTAATACATCATTTTTAATGGCTATATTGTATTCCATCATAGATTCCATTTATTTATGCAATTCTCCATTGTGGGACATTTAGTTTCTACTTGTTTTTAATGATAAATAGTGCTTCAATGAATCTCCTTTTGTGAATCATTGTGAACTATTATTCTTTCTGGCTGTAAGTGGAGTATCTCAATGACTAGGCCTTCTTGGGCCTCTGTGTACCATCATATTAAGAATTCCATTGAGTGTGAGTTCAGCTGCCATCTCCCTAGTGGTAATTCCCAAAACCATGTCTCTTGTCCCAGTCCTGCTCCTGGGCAACAGACTTACATTAATACTCTGCCTGTTGTACTCTCTATTCAAAGATCACAAAAGCACCTCAGGCTCAACCACATCCAACAATGAACTCAACATCTTCCTCTTTTTTTTTTTTTTTAAGATTTTATTTTTAAATAATCTCTACACCCAATGTGGGGCTCAAACTCAAAACCCTGAGATCAAGAGCCGCCTGCTCTACTGACTGAGCCGGCCAGGCGCCCCTCCACATTCTTTAATGACCTCCCTTTTATGCCTCCTTTCTGCCTGTGGAGCTAGCGTTCTCCCACCACATGGGGGTGAATCTTGATGTCCTCTTTCCTCTCTTGATCCCCTTGTATTAAAGTTATCAAGTCTTCTGCCCGCATCTCCACCAGTTCAAATCCTGTCCAATGCTCAAAGCCTATCTCAAATCACTTCATTACAGGAAGCTTACCCTTATCTTTCCAGCTATATGCAATCCCTGAAGGAGAGGGAGGGGAAGACAGAAGAAAAATGTGAAGAAATAATGGCTGAAAAACATGTGAAACTTGATGAAACCGATAAACCCAATGAACCTCAAGCACAAGAAACACACACACACAAAACCTTACTTTTTTGTATATATTATACCTCAAAAAAAAAAAATCAAAGAACATATTTTAAACAACGCTTAAAACCAGTGACAGCTTTTCATCACCAAAAGTTAAAAAAATAAATGAACAAAGTTAAGGATGATGGAAAATTTCTCAGTAGAAACAATATGTACAAGACAGTGGAGCAACATCTTCAAAGTACTGAATAAAAAACAAACAAACAGGGGCACCTGGGTGGCTCAGTGGGTTAAGCGACTGCATTCGGCTCAGGTCATGATCCTGGAGTCCCGGGACCGAGTCCCACATCGGGCTCCCTGCTCAGCAGGGAGTCTGCTTCTCCCTCTGACCCTCCCCCACCTCATGCTCTCTCTCTTTCTCTAATAAATAAAATCTTTAAAAACAAACAAACCTGACTCCCTAGAATTCTATATCCAGGAATAGAATTGTTTGAAAACAAAGGTAAAATAAAGACATTGTCAGATATACGAAGGCCAAAAGAATTCATCAGCAGTAGAACCACACTGCAAAAAAAAAAGTTTTCTTCTGGCAGAAGAAAAATGATACCAGGTGAAAATGTGGATCTACAAAAAGAAAAACACCAGAAATGGTAACTAAATGAGTATATATGTAATTTAAAAAATTATCTTCCTCTTTTTAAAAGATAATTAACTGTTTAGCCAAAAATAAGAGTCACAGAAAGTCAACACAAGAAAGAACCTAGTCAGCCACTCATTTGGAAATGAATTATTTACTGTCATTCAACTGGTGGGAGGGCGAGGGAATATAAATCAGGTTTCCTGATGCCTCATCCAGATTTTCAGCTACTTCACTGAATGATGACAGGTACAAAACTCCTTTCTAACAGACCAGAAACAGTTACTCTTTTTCTGGTTTCCAGATCAAATACCCTTCTCCCTTTTCAATCCTTCCTCTCGCCATTCCTTGCTCACACACTCCCCTCGTGATAATATTTACACAGTGCTTGATAGTTGCCAACTCTTCCATGTCTGTTACCTCACTTGATCCTAAAAACAACTCCCAGAAGTGTGTAGGTCAGGGGTTTGCATCTTCCTGATTTTTACAGATGCAGAAACTGAATCTCAACCAGAGTTAAACTCCCCAGCACGAGGGATTAATAGTGTGGTGAAGTTAGGACTGAAATTTCAACCTTCTGACTCCAGACTGCGTGCTCATTCTGCCAGCCCCATACTGCCTCTCTCACATGCCTGAATTCCATGTTTCTGGCACACATCTTCTAAATTATTTTCTCATACCCAAAATCACGACTTTTATAGGAACACAAAGCAACCTCAGAAAAGCAAAAGTACTACTTTGCTTGGGCTTATTTATAACATGCTCCTTCTCTGAACGTAAAAGGAGTCCTGAAAATGGAACATTGGTCATTTGCTGTAAGCGACATCGAAACAATTAGAAAAAACTAAGTTCACGATGACTATGAACAAATTAGTCACAGGCTAGAAAACAGGGATTAGACCATCACCAAACAGAAGAAAATGTACAATTTATCAATGGAAAGGCTCTTGGTTTTGTATTTCAAGTATTTATTTTATTTTATTTATTTATTTGACAGAGAGCGACAGCTAGAGCAGGAACACGAGCCCGGGGAGTGGGAGAGGGAGAAGCAGGCTTCCCGCTGAGCAGGGAGCCCCGACGCGGGGACGCAGGTCTCTATCCGGGATCATGACCTGAGCCGAATGCAGACGCCCAACAACTGAGCCTCAGGCGCCCCACAAGTACCTTTAAATGTAGGTATGGTACACCCAACGTTTAGATCATATCCAATTCATATTGAAAACAGTCTATTAGCAGTGTACAGTTTGTGGAGACAAAGTATTTCATTCAGTAAACATTTACCACCCTCCCTTTCCCTCCCAACTTTGTGTGAGCCACTGTGCCAAGTGTTGCAGATGGGAAAAAGAGTAAGGCCTCATCTCTAAGTTGTTCACTAACAGAGACACAGACAAAATAAAACATGAGCTTAATGGAGGGATGTTCCCAGATGCTAGAGGAAGAGGAAAGGAAGCAGGCCGATTCAACAAATCATTTTTCAAAGCGAATGCCCTGGTAGTCCATTTGCCAAATAATCAAAAGAGAAAATGGCCAATTTACAGAGTTTACCTAATTTACTAAAACCTTCTAAGTAATTTTAAGATCTCTCAATATATGTAGATGTGTTCTCTGAGGACTTGCTGTCAGTCGGTCTGCTGTTGTGCTAAGCACCGTACACATTGCCTTCTCTTAGTAAGTTACATGGCGCTCACTAAAGCTCACAGAGGTTAAGTAACTTGGCCAGACTCACACAGTAAATCAGTGGCAGAACTGAAGTTTAAAACCAACTTGTCTGAATCCAGTATCTGATTTCTCAAAACTCCTCTATACAGCCTGCTTTATAATATCTACTGATCTTTTTTATGTGCTAGACACTGTTCTAGATTCTGCACATGAATTGTATCATTTATTATTTACAACTCTGTGAGTTAGCAGAGTCTTTTTCTAGATGAGAAAACAGATTCAGAGAAGTTATACCACAAGTCCTTTTAGGACTCATCTGTTCAGAGCCCTCCAATAGGTTCCCCTTCTACTAAGTCAGTCATCATAATGACCTACAGTGGCCAACCCAATACCTCCCCGAGCTCACCACCCACTGCCCTTGGCTATCCTCCCTTTCCACTCTCCTCACTCAAGCTGGCTATTCTTTGAATTCGCCTAGTGCACTAGTACATATCCCTCTGCCTAAGATCTTCCTCCTTCAGGTTTCACTCACATGTCACCTTATTCCAAGTGCAGCCTTTCCTGACATCCTTTAAAATTGTACCCACCCCATTCCCCTTTCTTGTCTCCTTCTCTCCGTAGCTCTGTCACTAACTTACTATATCGTTTTAAATCATCAGTCTCTCCCCACTAAAAGGAGACCAAGGAGGGTTTTTTTGGTTTTTGTTTTGTTTTTTTTTACTGTTTTGCCCATCACTGTGTCTCTTGCACTTGGAGCAAAGTACAGGCTCAAAATATATCAGTTGAGTTAAACTTTTGCTCAGGGTTAGAGTGTGAATTGGGTACTGAACCCAGCAGATAATCCCTAACACCATCCTCTTTCCATTACGTCAAATGTGCTAATAATGCCAGAGAAAATGC